AAAAAAAAAAAAAATGGCTTTCTTTTTTCAAAGATGACTTTCTAACAGTTAATTGTTCTTGTGTTTCCATCCTCAGCATTTGACATTGTGCAGCAAAGAAATGGTTATGGAGAAGCCCAGTCCGCTGCTTGTAGGGCGGGAGTTTGTGAGGCAATATTATACTTTGCTGAATAAAGCTCCAGAATATTTACACAGGTAAATTTTAAACAAATAAAAAATTTAAATTTTAAACAGATTTTGTTGGTATGGCTACCTACACTTTTTTCCTTTCTTGTTTCCTCATAACTTGGTAATATCTTTGTAAGTATCTTTAAATCATATTCAGTATTGTAACCATCTGATGTCTAAAACCAGTGTTTTTGCCTGCACAGTCGCAGCAAAGAAAACACTTAATATCATATCTCCAGTATTACGCCACATTCATATTCATACACATTTTGGTATTTTATTTTTCAGTTTCAAAAAATTGGGGGCTTTAGCCAGTCCTGCTGGCCTATAATCCTAGCACTCTGGGAGGGCAAGAAGGGAGGATCAGTTGAGCTCAGAAGTTTGAGATCACTGTGAGTAAGAGTGAGACCCCTAGTCTCTACTAAAAACAGAAAAATTAGGCTATAGTCCCATTTATTGGGGAGACTGAGGCACAATGACTGCTTGAACCCAGGAGGGTTGCTGTGAGCTATGGTGACACCACAGCACTCTAGCTTGGTCAACAGAATGACCAAGGGACTTGTATGTATCATGGAACACACTGGCTAAGTGAGTTAAGGGTAAATATTTCATTCCCACTTCATGTGGGGAAGGTAGTATTTTCTGCCTTATTCCAGAAGGCATTTTTACATTTACTGCTTGCTGGGGTCTCTAAGAACTCTCATTCATACATTATGTATCGTGTAATCCTTGTGACAGTCTTAGAAAGTGAAGGTGCTTTTATTATCTCACTTTATATATTGGGCATCTGAGGCTAGTAATTTATCCAGGATCATCCCTGGTTAGTAAGATCAATAATTCATGGAGGATCATACAGTAAGCATATGAGCTGTACCCAGTATTCACTATTCAGGCTCAGTTCTGACTAGACAGCTTCCAACCACTTGACTAGAATGTATTATATATAAAGTATAACTAACAGTAACCTCTCCATAAACCCCAAATGAATAGCTATTTGTTTTTCTAATTGTGAAAAAAAAAACATCTTTTTGTTGATAGTGTATGTGAGGGAGTTGGGGAAGAATGGAATCATCAGAGCCTATCGATAATTGAAATGTGGTCTTTCCACAATTAGTAGGTATTGGTGTTTTTACTTTTGATGACAGAGCAAAATTTAAAATCTGCTCTAAACCATCATGTTAAGTGGCACAGACTTCCATTTTATACCTAACTTAATCAGTTTACCTCAGTAAAAATTTAGGTAGTTTATAGTATTCACTTGTGTTATAAGCAGTGCTATCATGAGTATGCTCAAGCTTGCATTTTTGTGTACCTTGGAGGTTTCTTAGAATAAGTTCCTGAAAGAATTATTGCATCAAAGGTACAACTTTTAACATGCACACATGCTATCTCTTTCTCCCTGCCAAATTTTCCTCTAGAAAAATATGCCAATTTTTACTTGTTTACCAATAGTACATGAGAAAGAATATTATAAATTGTAAAATATTATATTAAAATATAAGTTAATAGTTAAAAAACACCAAAAAGTACTCTGAAGCAAGCCTGGGATCTTGTTTTTTTTGTGGTGGTGGGGAGGTCTTGTTTTAGGTAATCCACCTAATGGGGTATATGGCTTAGTTTGTTCATTCAGACAATAGCGTTTATTTTATGAGGTTGTTAAGAGGGTTAAAGGAAATATATATAATGCAAAAGGAAGCTCTTACATATGTTTTTTTTTACCATGGGAGCAGAGTTCTCTTTATAAAAAATTAACTTTGTATCTTTTTTGGTTGATATCCCAGGCTAGAGTATAGTGGCATCATAGCTCATAGCAACCTCAGACTCCTGGGCTCAGATGATCCTTTTGCCTCAGCCTCCTGAGTAGCTGGAACTCTGGGCGCCCACCACAACACCCGGCTAATTTTTCTAGTTTTAGTAGATATGGGGTCTTGTTCTTGCTCAGGCTGGTCTTAACCTCCTGAATTTAAGCAATCCTCCTGCCTTGGCCTCCCAGAGTGCTGGCACTATAGGTGTGAGTCACTGTGCCTGGATTTAACTTTGTATCTTTGATAACTTTAATTTAAAGAGATGTTCTGATTGTATTAGGTAATGCCAGAGAAAGACTAACTTATCATGTTCCTCTCATAAAAATATTAATAAGAAATATGATGCTGAAGTAGTTTTAGATTTTTGATTTGGTGTCTGAATTATTTTAATTATTTTAAATCTAAACTGTTACAAGCTTTTTGAATTAGTAATTATATGGAGATCCGAATATAGTGTTAAACTCTTCTTAATCAAATGTAGACAGCTGAGTTTTTGTATCTGATGGAATAAAGCAAATCAATTACTATAGCATCTGTATTTAGAATCTACTAAATAGTCAAAACTATTTCATTCTTCCGCTTAATGAAAAAATAAATGTGATAAGAATTAGATGAATATATCTAATGATTGTCTACTTGGTGTGCCAGGTACCATAAGCATTCTGTGTGCATTTCTCAATCTTCTCAGCAACCTTATGTAGTGGTTACTACGCCTCTTAATTAGTGACAGAGCCAGACCTAGAAGAACTTGGTCTGTTTGACACGTAAAGGCTATTGCCTCTTAGGGCCTTTTTCACAATTCATTAATTATCAGTGGTTTTGCAGGTTCTATGGCAGGAATTCTTCCTATGTTCATGGTGGAGTAGACGCTAGTGGAAAGCCCCAGGAAGCTGTTTATGGCCAAAATGTAAGTATCAATTTCATGCTTTAGAAATTATTTTGTGTTAAGAGAGATTTTTTAAAAAATATCACTCTTTGGGCTGCGCCTGTGGCTCAGTGAGTAGGGCAGCGGCCCCATATACAGAGGGTGGCGCCTTCAAACCCGCCCCCAGCCAAACTGCAACAAAAAAATGGCCGAGCATTGTGGC